TGCAAGAGTAACCCAACCTAACCTCAAAAATGCTACAACGTGTAAAATCTCGGGAATTCAATTTTATCTCAAGTCGGATCGAACATTTAGAATGTCGAGGAGTCTCTGAAGCTCGAGAACCGCCACGGTGTCTCCGTTTTGGCGAAAGAACCGGCGCGTGATTCACCGAGAAACCGATCGCGGCGCGAAACAGTGACGTGAGTCATCGATACGCTCGGTTTCGAGCCAGAGACCGCACTACGCTGCTCTCGCTCACTATCCGCGTTGTTCGCCGCGCGCAAACACGCCGCCGGCCCGTCCAAGTGTTTCAAGAGTGCGAGCAACACGTATACACACGGCTAACCGTCCAGTCACCGAACCATTGTCTTCTGTTTTGCTCGAGAGACCTCTCAACGAGCAACGTTTCCTACTCTCAACGCCTCTTACGAACGTTGATTTGTCCTCTTCGTATGCGCGGGATTTTTAACAGATATTTTTGAAAAGAGAATTTTTCGTATAATTAATTTGTTATTTTACTAAATTTTAAATAAATTTCAAAGCAAAATGAAATATACGGGGTGTGGAAGAAAGATTTGATGTTGTAATTTTGTTTTCGTTCTTTTTTTTCGACTTTGTCATTCTGCCATCTTGGAGTCTACCAAATGTTATGTTTACAAACTTTAATTCCTAGGTAAAATTCCTACCGTATTAAATTTTGTCTGTGACACCCTGCATTAACACTTTACTGGTCATTAACATAGTACTACGTTTTTTTTTTTTCACGAATATTAAGTGTTCTTAAAGGTAAAAGTTGTTTGATAATGTAATATATGGTATGTTGTTTGAATAGAGAAAGTTGGACCTGCTTGAGTAAACATGGTTCACATTTTTCTTTTTTTGTCAGAATGATGTAGCGTTATTGATCTATTAATGTTTGTTGTTTTTGAGAATGTAAATTACCTAATAGCCGAGAACCATGATTAGAAAATATTTAAGGTTATGTGGTACTAACTTATTTATGAGATCACTGAAGATAAGTAGAGTGTATTATTGTGTTAGAAAAAGATTGTAGTGATCAAATATTTCTTGTTAAAACAAAAACGACTTCAAAGATTATCAAGCACTTAACAAACCTTGCTGTTTATAAATTTTATACTAGTTGTTCTTCAAAGGCAGATTAATTTTATTTTTTACATCAAATTTTTATGTATTGATAATCTGTCACAGCCATTTCTCATATTTATTTAGCTACCGATCATGGAAATATTGTATGTTGGATTTCATATCCTTTACAAATATAAGTTACACCTGTAAATATCTTTTGCATCATGTTACACAGCCACCGGGGGTATTAATACAGAATATTAACAGCAGTACATACAACCTACAAAATATCCTCTGTAAAATTCCCGCCATTACAAATATTTCCGTTCATTTCAATGTTTCTCCAAGGAAACTGCCATTAGACAACATTTAATTAACTTTCTCTGAAATCGCAATATTGTTTTGTCTGCTCTCTCCACTTTAGAATTCGAGTTTCTTGTTTCTCGGTTAAATTTATCACCGTTACTTATGCACTCTGGAAACCAGATTCTTTTCCAACGAAACAGTATATATGTAATTCCCTTTCTTCAATTTCACATCTATATCACAACTACGTGATTCATTACCTCATGATTCGAGGAAATACGAGGTAGCCATCGATCAAGTGAAAAAGAAAAATGCCGCACCTTAAGGTCAAACGACCACCATCTCGAAGGTATCTCTCTTTTACGGTCGGCATCTATAGTGTCATCTAAAAGCTCAATGTCACATGTCATTCCTTATCGAGCAATCAGCGTACAGCTGAAATTTTACTTGATCTGAGAAAACGAAAAATGGATAAAATTGAAGTAACGTATCAGATATTAAAAATATTTTACTTTGAACATTACAGAATTGCTGATAGTAATAACCTATGTTTACGGTCAAATGTGTATTTCTATGTGGCGCGGTTCGACGAAAGACTTGAGAGAGAGAACTGCGTGTCACGTGATACTCTGCAGATTAAACATGGCTGTTTAAGATGTGGTTGTGTTTGCAACTAACATGTGAAACCTTTTAAAAGAATATGTTCCAAAGAAAATTGACAAAGAACACGTGTGTTTACATTCTGACTATATACAGTGAAATTTTAGATGCTATTGAAAAATTGATCAAATAAGTTGAGTGAAATGTTCGGACTAGTTGAACTTGTAAGGATGAAAATGTAGTCAGGAAATTTTGTTTAACCTTAATTGAAGTGAAGTGAGATTCATAATTCAATTTTTAACGTTCCTATCTACTATAATTATTTTTAGAGATTAAATGGTCGTTATAATGAACGAAATTTTATTAGAAAAAAATTTATGTTTGGCCCAGTTTTTTGTACTTATAACTAAGTAGTTTAACGCATTTAATATGTAAGAGTAGAAACTGAATTACTATGTATACAGGGTAGTCCATTAGGAACGGAACATTAACACATAAAGATATACAATTTTCTACATAAAATTACTGCACGTTAGTTAACTATATCATATTTCATAAATATAGGACATAACCTTAAACAAAGTCACTACTATAAACTAAATGCCTTTATCAAATTTTCTGCCTATAGTGAAAAAAAAAAAATACATTTTGAGTAGCACCAATCAAACATTCCGTTTCTATCGGGCCACTCTGCTTAACACGCGCATCTCGAAAACCAGCGACACTATAACCAACGAAGGTCTTTACAAAAGAAATATGCCTCTGTAAAAATATAAATTACTGAAAAGCGGCACAATATTTTTCTACGACGATACACTGCGGCGATCGAAGTTCGCCGGATCATTTCCATATGACAATAAATTAACGGTCGAAGTCCGTTCACGAAAATAACGGCGCAACTACTAATTGAAAAGAACAGCGCTATATCTGTTTTTCGCCTCTATTTCCCTCTCTGTCTTTCGCTAACCACTTTTATTGTGCGCGGCGCGATAAAACCATACGTTTTCAACCACAGCACGTGGTTAAGTGGAAACAAAAAGAAAAGAGAATAAAACAAACGGCGAAGCGTTAAAACATTAAAAGCGATTTAAGTCGTCTAATCCCAGTTCTGTTCTTCGTCATACGACCATATTCCATTTATGGACGTTTTCAGTTCGGTTAAAATGATTCGGGCGAAATTTTTCAAAATAATAACGTCACGAAATCGTTAACAAATTAAATGGAATTATTATATTTTTTTAAAAACAAAAATAAAGGAAAAATACATATTTAATCGATTTTAAGCTGTGGAAGAGATTGTGCATATCGTAAGGAGTTTGGTTAATTATTTTCTTCTATGATTTTCCATATGTTTGAGTCCCTCTGGCGAGGTGAAAAAAAAAAAGTAATTCGTGATCGTATATTTCTCAGTACGCCTCTTATGTGCCCCGTTTCTATGGCTAATAGTCGCTTTGCGCACTGTCGAGGCGTGAAATTAGCGCGCTGCCACTTAAACCGGTCGTACACCACGAGATCGGTCGCGATTTATCGACGTCGTGCTTTCTTCGTTCGAGGGTGATTCGTACGCGTAAAACGCAATACGTAGCCGCTCGTGATAATTTTATCGACATGACAGGCGATACGTTCGCGTCCTCGTATCGAGAATTCTCGATAAACCGGGCAGATATAGAAGATTCGGGCGTTATTAGCTTTTTTTCGAAACACATTTTATTAACAGTCGTTGGAAATTACGTGTCGTAAGATATAGGGATAGGTAAGTGTCGACATTTGTCGAGTTGGTACGACTGAGACGATTTTTTCTTTTAAATACTTCAATGTGGCACTTAAACCCATATATCTTTCGAATCATAGATAATTACAATGATTAACCTATAATACTAACACAATGAGTATACTATACTTGAACAGACAATAAATACTTTATTTTTTAAAGATCAACGTATACGTCAGATACAATACTGAACGTAATAAAACACGGCAGGCACAATATATGTATACGTACACGTGTAATGGTATAATTACAGGAGGAACAAAAGAAAAAAAAACAAAGTGGCAACAACGTGACACAATCTCGTATCTTAATCTACGCAAACAGGTAAATCCACGTCTATTTTTCTACGGGTGGATAACGAACGAACGATAACCTAAAATCGAACAGACACATTGCTAGCTTGTTACACGGTCTAACTACTCTATCCTAAGTAACACTTATTGAACGCTGGTAAAATACTTTCGAGGATATCGGCCGTGTACGATGCACACGTCGCGCGTGTCATCAGCGGAAAGCAAGAAAAAAAAAAGTCACGTAATGTAAACGTATATTATAATCACTTTCGATATATTTCTGTATGAAAAAGAAAATTGGTTTCACCGTTATCGGTTTTTCGTCTTGGTGTAATGTAATTCGCCTTTTACGTAAGTCGTCCAGGTGAACGATACACGTTTCTCTTACGTGTCGCCCGATAAAAGGGCAGAAATAAGAAATCCAATAAAAGTAACGAGAATTGTCAGCGTTTGACAAACACAGGTATGGATGTTTTTCGTACAGAAATATCGATATTCTTGACTCACGCGATCGTTTTAACCTTATTGACAACACACTGAGCGGCTGTTGACGCCTGTCATTGACGTTGTCAATGATTTTCGCGAATACGAGACACACGAAGCGACGGCGAGCGAAACACGGTAAGCACTGTGCGCTCGAACGACAGTGTTCGACGAGCACGCGTCATTTCGAACAAAATTTGTAATGACATTACGCGAAGATACGCACGACAAGATTCCTCGTCGACACGAGAAGTCCGTACGATTACTTTCTCTCAGAAAAAGGAAGAAGACAAGTCGATTATCAAGAGCGAGACGGAGAGAGCGTGAACCTCGACGGGGAGGTTAGGCCGTCAACGTAACGTCGAGGTTAACCTTTTCAAGCCGTGGGCAATCCGGTGAAATACACCGTTGTCGGAAATAATCGTGGTCGAACCATGTATTATTTCGTTCGAAGAAAAACTTACCCCATAAACCAGTCCACGGTATCGCGGAGATACTCGGGTAACCTATCCAGCTTGGATGATTTTCAGTTGGATCACCGCTGAGGAAAGTAGCACGAGAGTCGAGAAAACAAAATAAATTCTCTCTCTCTCCACTAGCACCAGCAGCAGCAGCAGCAGCGGCGCACGTTTCGCGATCTCGTAAAATCTAACATGGCGAAGCTCTATTGTCACCTGTTCCCGTCATGCCTCACTTGTCCCCCTTTCACCCGAAAATACTACCGATTTATCGCCGCCACCGCGTACTCTAGCCTCTGTATTCGATTCGCCTCGGTTCGTGTTCTATGCACGGTACACGGAACGCGTATCTCTGCCGATCGAGCCAAAGACCTCGAATGCACGACACTGCACCAGAGGGGAAAGCCCACCTTAAACCGCACAGCTGATCAGCCGACGACGTCGAGAAACGAACTCACTCGCACACCCCCGTTTTGATACCTGACTGCAGAGGGTAGTACCTACCGCTCGTACTCGCTCTAAAATGGTTCCTGACACGGGCATAGGCTATGTGATAGACAGATGGTAAAACATTCCGCGTCGGTAACTCGCGTTGTACTTATCCTTTCAGACTATGAAAAGCATATTTGCTACAATATTTTATTAATCTGTTATAATTATTTCAATGTAATTGTTATTATATAATTTAATTATATTTTTTA